AGCATTTACTCATGGCTGAAGGAAGGAAAGGTTAAGAGACTGATAATTAGTCCTGGCTTGTAATTAAAAACAGTTCATTTTTCACCAGGACCTAGTTACTGTGTTTCAGGCCACAGAATAAGTGACTGTGGGGTATCTCCTGAATTCTGCAAGCTGGATGTGTCCACAACAGCAGCACACACTTTGATACGCTGTACTGCACAGAGAACGCCAAATTCTGCCTAAACAGCCATAAATCACTCTATAAGAAATGTCTCAGTCCCAATGTTATCTTACCTAGACTAAAAACCTCTGCATTTAAAGAAAATACTATTTATATATATATGTATCTTCCCTACAAACAAGATTCCTAAACAGCAATGCTCAGTTTTCCCCATTACAACCACTTGAAGAAATTCACAGGACAGATGACGACGTGTTGCTGACTTTCACCCTGTTTGAGCCCAGCTTATTCAAGGAAACTTACTTGGTCCTGCAACGCTCGTCGAGTTCAAGCCTTGGAATCCATTCCAGGTAACACTCAACCGCAAGCTCCTGGCCTACGCACAGAAACTACGGCATGAAATTTTATGGTCTGTGTTATTCAGGAGGTCAAAAGGGATTATCACAATGTTCCTTTTTAGCTGTGGTACCTATGAGCCTTGGCATATAAGCCACCCTGGAAAGCCATTCTCAGACAAGTGTTTTAAATTGGACTCTGAGCAGGCCTTGAACTCTACTTCAGGAGAAAGCAGCATTGTCAAGATAACGGTTTTACGGCTTTCAGTCCTCCAAGCAAAAATAGTGCTTGCTTTGTGTACCTTGCCCTGTTTCACACACTAAGCAGACATCCTCTATCCAACCCTTACCGCTCTCTGCTAGCCGTTCCACAAACACACCAGAGCTGAAGAACCAATAGTCTGTTCTATAACCTGAAAGCTCAAAGAAGTAAAATAATTTTCCTGAAAAAGACCCACCCAACTTTGATGTAATTGGGATAACCTGGATGGAGTGGGAATTCCCCAGCCATGAAGACATTTTCCACAGCAAGATGGCCTTGGATAAAGTAAGCAAGATTTTCCAACTGTTTCATTCATTCAGAAGTGCTAACAGTGGGTGAACAGTGGATCAGGCCGTTGAATGCCTCGTTCTGTCACCAGATACATAATTTAGTGGTCCTAGTATGGGAGCAGCTATCAGAAACTCCAGATGACACATTCTCAGGCATGTTCAGCCTTATAAGCAAGCCATCTACCCTCCCTGTGACTTGGCTTTCCTTTGCACAGAGCAGGAACATTCACTAAATGGATTAGAATATACCTTTTCTGAAATCCACAAGGTCGTACTTAATTCTTTCCTAGATTTTATTTGAGTTAGCCTTTTCTCTTTTAACCACCAGTAACCTGACAAACAGGGAATGATGCACAGGATCGTAGAACTGGCCACTGATGCACAGGCCACGCTTAATCTTTGACACAGAGTGGCTAACACACAGCAGATGAGCTACCACAGCTTTGTGTTGAGCCACTGACCAGCTGAGCTGCACTATGTGCCTTCCTACTTCAAGGGAACTGTGAAGACACATTTTTCACCCCCTGAGATCATGTAGCAAGGCTCAGGGTTACAAGACACAGTAATTTTTTGTCACCTGCAGACACCCACACATTCTTATGTGATCCACTTCACCCAACAAGGAACCTGTCCCTAGCACCCAAACGAGCATGACCTACAACACAAAACTCAAAGCTGCAGTGGCAGAGTAGCCACTTACACAGTCACTTCAATGTCTCTACATTTCATTGTGGTTTGGTTTACAAAATAATAAATACAAGCAAACAGAAAAGCAATTGTGCGTTCCCTCTGCAGCATACTGGTACTGCTGGGACAACGCTCATCGCAGCCGGATGCCTTTCTCCATCAGAGTGGCCAACACAGTCAATTGTGCACCCGCCAACTGTTCCAGCACGTTATTCTCTTTGGGGGGCTTGCACACGTTCAGAGGGGAAAGGAACTGCGTTCAGCGTCTCCCTTGCACGTCAGAGAAGCCAGCAGCTGCAGAGCTGTGCACGCCAAGTGCGGGACGTGGCTTCTCCTGCACCACAGCGAACATCAGCCTCTTCAACCCAATTGTTACTTTGGTCCTTGGAGAAGTTACTCACACGTATATCCAAATCCTTGGCCCACAGGTAGGGCTGCTAACCTAGCCAAGGACAGCTCGACACCTCTGATAGCAGGGCTAGATGTGACCTCATAGGATCTGCTGATCCCTTGCATCACCCAAAATAAACATCAGGATATGCTGGAAGGAGCACAATTTAGTGAACGAAACTACATAGTTCTGAGTCTTTGTCCTAGTTTCACCATTCATCTGCTGTACTTCTGCTACGTGATAACAACCTCTACCTTCACATTCAAGTATCATCTCTGTTAACTTCTAGCCTATCTCTACAGTCTGGGAGGTGGAATTTGCGAAGCAGTGAAGCACCAAATCCTATTAAGCACTGGCACTTCCTTAGAAACACTGGGACACTTTCCCAACAAGGAACTGGGAAAGACTCAAGATTTTTTTAACCCCACTTCCATGGCAATAAGGAGCATTAAAGCAAAATAATGGTGGGACAAGAGCTTTGATTTCTTTTTTTTTAATCTTACCTTAATTTCACAGGAATAGTACGTTAGAGGTAGCTGGTAGCATGCTCTCTCAAGCAGCTTGAGTAACTGCCAGAATTTGGTTGCAGCATCTTCATACAGATATAGGTATACTCGTGTCTCTATTTATTCCCTTCTGTGTCACTCCAGACAGAAACCTGTCTTAGAATCATAAAACAGTTTGGGTTGGAAGGGACCTTAAAGATCATCTAGTTCCAACCCCCCTGCCATGGGCTTGAACATGAACTAGAAATTAATCACCCACAGAGAAATCACAGAGTAACAAAGCATAGCAGACCTACCCAAGGGCTTTTGATAGTCAGCCTAGAGTATGTTTGGGACTGCAAATAAATTCCTCTTAGCTGGGGTCCTCAATGCCAGTAGAGAAGCTGGTGACTACAACCTCCCCTGAGGACCGTAACTGGCAAGGCAGAGAGGCTGATGGTGACTTCTCTCTTGCTGTTACACCTAACACATGGCAAATGACCTCATTTATCCAGAACTATCACATGACTGTTATGTGCTCAAGGCTGACCAACAAGTTAGGAAGATACATGGCAGCACTAGATGAATTCTTTTATTCTTCACCGTGGTGAAGAAGATGGAGTTACCTATATTGAAGGTGAACACAAAGGAAAGCGAAGAAAAAATAGCAAACCCCGTAACATCATACTTCAGGAACAAAGCCCCAGCCTCGATATGGCTCAGCTCCACACTGAGGTGGGAGTTGGAGAAACAGCCCCATTAAAAAAATGTATTAAAAAAAGGAGAGGACGGTGGGGAGGCTGTGTAGAGCAGAGGAGAGTGGCCCTTGCATCTTGACAAATCCAGTTTTAACCTGGAGTTTCACATCACTACAAAACTCTGGAAGTGCTGGCTTTGCAGATACATAAGAACTGTTTTCAGTGAACTCAGTATTTTTCCACATCTACTACTGTAACTCTGCTGGCAGGCTGAAAGTAGCAAATCCTCCCTTATCTCCCTCCTCTCTGAGTGCATCTCTCTGTTTAAGCACCAGCTAACTTAGATCATCACACACGATCCCCCTTGGAAGATGGACAAAGAGTGGGGTGGGAGAGTCACTGAGGTTGCAAGCAACAAACCACAGAAGGAGATGGACTGTCGTGCAGAAGGGAAGTAGCAGGAGGAAAGAGGCAGCTAATGAACAGAAGGGGGTGCGTAAAATCCTACTTGGATTGCCTCTCTGGGGAACAGCTGTTTCCTTGTAAACATCTTGCTAGCTGTCCAAACAAGAAGTTCAGACACAGAACAATAAAGGAGAGCACCCGGGTAGAAGCGTGCAAGGCATGGGCTCATTCACTACCCTGCCAATTGCTCCAAGTGAGAGAATTCAAAAGCTGGGAAACATTAGCCATACGTTTAACCCTGCATGTGCTGGTGTTACAGCCAACAGCCTGCAGAAACAGATCCTTCTCTATCTGTGGTAAAGTCCTTCCTAGTCCTCCTTTCCCCCAGCTGTTTCTGACATACCAGCAGAGCACATTACTTGACAAGGGCGAAGAGGAAATATCCTCATCAGAGCAAGGAGAAACAGTAGCAGAGCCAAGAAATTAAAAACCTGAACGTGGCAGCCCTGAAGGCCTAGAAAAGTTCTACCACTGCCCTGGCATCAGCAACTTGGAAGCAGAGGGAGTTGCACCAGAAAAAGTAAAAAGAGTCTTTTTATTAGCCCTGAGCACAAAACACCCTACACTGGCAGAAGCATTTCTATGCCAGTACAACTGTGTCCACACAGGACTCTTGCCAGCACTGCAAGGTAGCTGCGGACAGGGGAAGGAATACTAGCACAGCCGTGCCAGCAATCATTCCTAGGGCAAGCTGGCCACAGAAGCAGCTACCTGCACTACAGAACAGCAAGCAGAGATTGTGCACCTCCTTTGTCTGCTCCTTGATGTTTCTGGGGGTCAAACACACACGTGCCCGGTCACAAGCTTATCCAATAAACATTGTCTCCAAAATGCCACACAACTGTTAACAAAGGAGTGCAATCAGATCTCACACACACTCCTCCAGGAAAGAGGGGCAGGGGGTCACTTTGCAAGGAAGGCAATGCAGAAGATAGCAGGACACTCTCACTGACAGTACAGGAACCCTGGGTCCTGAGCCTACTGTCCCATTATTTACACCTTCACGTCCACCTCCGACTGACCTATCTTGACTTTTACACATCCTACTCAATGCAAACCACTTATCCTGGGAAACGAAATGCCTCCTACTTCTACTCAAAACAACCCGTAGAGCACAGGAAGAAGGTAAGCACAGTGATGCTCTCACAGTCCGAAACAACAACAAGCAATTTGACATTTTAGAAACAGTCCGCAACTTCACAGGACAGACCTGATGCAGTCAGATTTATTTTACCTTTTTATTTCTTTAGGGTCATTTTGCTGTAGTTGTGCACAAACAGCCAGGAAAAAAGACACGCTAGCAAGGGCTGCTCAAGAATAAACATTCGATCATTACAAGAAGGGAAGAGTGCAAGTTCTGCTGACCAAAATCCCTCTGAGCCTAAAGAAAGGCAGCTGGCTTCTCGCATCAAAGTCCAAACCAATCGGGGACTCCACCTCGTCTGGGGTCACCTTCCTGTCTCTGCTTCTCTCTCTCCATATATTTATCCTTCAAGTCATCAAAAGAGCGAGTTTCTGTGTCTTGTTCTTTCTCTGGAAATAGGTTGGGAAACTGAAAGGTTTGTCCTTGGCCCTAAAGAGAAAACAAATGGTCAGAGAGACATTCCAGCCTTTCTGCAGTAGCTATGATGCATATACTGACAATGAAAGACCACCCTGAAGTTCCAGCTAGTGCAAAACGGTACCTCTCAGCTCCCAAGACCTCTTCCACCCCTCTCTCCAAGATACACTTACATCTCCACACCCTACGCCCCCAAAAGCTAGCTTTTAGCCTCTCCTCTTGTGGCTAATTAAGACACTGACTTTCTTTTTACAGATGAATGGTCAGGAGATGGACACCTCTTCAAAGCCTTTGAATCAGCTCAGAGGTGTTGTACCACCCATATAGTAAAAGCAAGATGAGCCAAAAAAGTGATTTTGTTAGAGTAACACCACTGAGGAAATGGTGGAGCAGGCACCCACTACAATAACACTCAGGATATGGATATAGGTGTTTAGATCTCAACTAAGGATAAGAGAAAACAGACCTAGCAGCTGCTAACTGTAGGGCATAATATGGGAATACAGAATAGCAGATATCAGAGGTCTCTTATCATCAGGAATAAAGACTATAGTGTAAAACAATTACAGTGGGAACAATCTGTCTAATACATCGCTGATGAGATTAAAGTGATTACATCTGCATCAGTCATTCTGCCTAACAGACAAGTCATTCTAGTGAAACATCACCATCAGATCTATGTCTCCCACTTGGAAAATAAACATTTGCTTGGTCTCTGGTTTTTATCTAACAGCAGGAAACCATTATTCTGTGGAAATGTTCTATCCCATTAACATTATCTACTCACTTTTTAGTGGTGTTCGCACCAAGCGCAACTTCATTAAACTCAACAGAATCAGTCCTTCCATTCTGTATGGGACTCCGCATAATGAAACTCCTAACTGACAGCTCATAACTCTAAAATCTCTCTCCAGAATACTTACAAACCTTACCATACACTAACTGCTTTGGCAGAATACCGTTTACAGAAATCCCAACAGAAGTATTTAATTGCTTCAGGTTAAAAGGTTTCTGTTCAGATTAACCATTCGTTACATTTGTGCAACCAATATAATCAAGAGGCCCAGTTATGAAATTGTTCCAGAAAGGACATGAAAGGAGTCTTCCACAACACAGCTACCTATACTACATTTTGGGATCAGAAATGTGACATAATTAAAAAAAACACATCACCGTGCCCCGACCCAGATGAATACGTGCTATGTTTCATTTAGCCATATACACTCAACCCGGTGATTTCCAGGTGTGAAAGAATTTAAACCTCAAGCATACCCTTTGGAAAGAAAAAATATGACATCCCAGTTGAGCTTATCCAGACTAGAATCTAGGAAACATCAACTCATACCCAGCAATGCTCCGGTTGTTTTTGTAGTGCATACTTCTTGGGGGTTTCCTAAGAGCCTGACCATACTACAAAAACAACAAGGGAGCTGCTGTGTACATTGCTCTTTCCTCAGTTCTAGCCTGGATAAGATCAACTGGAACAAATCAAGGTTTTCCTTTCCATGGCGTACACTGTGGGGTTTCAACTCTTTTGTACCTTTGGATTACCTTTAACTATTAAAGCGTAGTTCAAATTCAAGGCACAGAAACTGGCCTTATCAGCATCCTTAAGCAATCCCAAAGCTGTAGCCTACCAAAACTCTTTCTGTAGTAGGATCAGCAACAAGCACCCGTGAGGCTAAGCGCTGCCCAAGACCTCAGCACACTGAACCATTTGGAAAAGAATTGGTTTAGATTCCAAAAAATCACTGCATTCTAACTTCATTGCAGGCGGGTCACTCAGCCCCATGGTACCTACGGAACTGATTTTGAGGACTCATCTGCCCTAGAGAGGAAGCCATTTTAGTTGAACAAGTCAGAAAACAACTCAGGCTAACATGGTAGGCATGCCACCTACACTGAAAATCTGAGAACTATTTATATTGGTAACAGTGTAGTAAGGGACTGTTCTTGTTATGCAGCACTTCCATTCTGGTACGCTTCCAGCACCAATGCACTGCCCTTATTGGAGAACGAGGGAAAGCTGTCCCTAAAGCACACTAACAACATCCATGGTAATGCACTAAGCATTGCAAAACAGTTATTATTTTAAAACGAAGAGAAAAAAAAAATTTAAAAAAAACAAAAAGATACACACAGAGGCTACAGCAAAACCAGACAAACCTTTCAGCTGTTTACTGAAGTGCTCATAGTTCCCATTTCAAGGCTGGTGAAAGTCAAATATTGAGCTGAAAATGTCAATTTGTATCTGGAGTCTTTTAATAAATCAAAATCAGCAAAGACAAGTTGGCTCTTACCAGCTCTTGTTTTGTGAAGAAATTCTGATTTTGGCTGGCAGCCAGACACGATTTGAAACAGCCAAGACATTACACCCTGAGAACTGAAGGTTGATAAATCTTAAGTAACAATACTATGCAGTAATACTGCACCGTAAGACTCTGAAGTGATGAAAGCTGTATGAAAAATAGCTGTTGTGCATGCTCAGTAGCTAGTTTTCAGAAGAAGCCTGTATCTTGGGTATTTCAAAATTTCAAAAATACCAAAAGGCATCAACTTACATAAAGGACTGAGAGTCTGTCCAGGCATATTTACATTCAGTGCATCTTCCACACGATGCCAGAGGCTACTGAGGTTCAAGCTCATTTGCCACCTTCTCAAAAAAATGCCTACGAAAGGAAGGGAGGGGTTGTCACCCCTTTACACAGCGCTGCTTTTTCTTGCACCACTGCTTTGTAAACGTCTTGCCTTCTATACAGTAACCATTTGACAACCATATGATAAACGCATGCTCAGAATGAAATCCTAATCAAAATAAAGCAAACAACTAAACTCCTACCGAGTTGAACAGGGTAGTTATGGGGTTTGCAAACTGCTAGAATCAGGAAATGCTGGCATTTTCAAACAGAAAGCAAAATTTTGGCTTATTCTTAACCCTTGCATTTGTTCAGTTTTGCCTTTTGCAAGCCATTTACCCAAGGCATATCCTTTTAAATACTGAATTATTGAAATTCACATAAACTCTACAAAGGCTAGGGCTTGGTCCTCCTTTAGAACTTCTGCCAGCAGAACTACCTCAGTTAGAAGCACAAAGGAAGAAAATAAGAACACCTTACTACCTGACATAGCTGTGCTAAAAGAAAATCCTGTAAAAAAGACACACTGGCAAATAGATCCTTTTGCTTAGATAATTTAGTCTGTCTTGGTACCGGATGCTGCACTCCAGGCAAAAGAACTTTTTCACTGATGTGAGGTGATACTCTGATACTCTGGTGTTTGTCAGGATAAGCTCTACTACCACATGCCCTTAGATATCAGTGAACTCTCATAATGTTAAAAAAAAAAAGAAAAAAGCAAGTCAGAGAGGCAGTATTAAAAAACTTTAAAAATAAAGGCAATGTGATGATTTTATGCATTGCTATTCTCAATCTAGGATCTTCCCACAGACCTCCCTTTTTCCTACAAATTCAAAGATTATGCACAACTGAGATGTGTGGTCCAGTGTTTAGATTACAGAAATGGGAGCCATTAGGCTTTAACTCCTGCGCAACTCTAATCCTCGCTTCAGCATTACCCAAATGTAAAACTGATTTATATACAAGGTCTTACGAGGATTCATTTGTTAAATGCTAACATCCTTCAAGATAAAAAGTGACCTCAGCATCCAACATGTATTTTCCCCTTAGATTTCAAGCTTTTTGTGTTAGAAAGGCTGAAAACACACCTTGTTCTCCAGCCTGTAGGAGTTACCACATCGAGTGGTACAAATTGCCTCCATTCATTTTAATGAGAGGTTAAGTGACCATAATTAGGCCTATGAAGTCAAGTGTTAGCCTTTCCACTGCTGAGCTTCATGTCAGAAAATTGCTGGAAGGATTATCCGGCACAAACTCACTTATACTTCTCTGACCTTTGCATCTCTTGGAAAGTTTAGGAATGGAAGGTCAGCACAGATATCATTATGTAGGAATGACGCAGCAAACACTGATCATGTAAACAACCGAGATCTTCTGATTACTTAGATAATTGAAGCACTTACTACTGTCCTTCAGAATTAGGAGAAAAGTGATGTTTATAGTATCATTAACTAAAAAATGTTGGACTCCCAACAGCACGGGATTCAGTCCAGCAGTAGCAGCAAACACAGCTAAGTTTAATAATCCAGCGTATTTGAACAATTCTCCTACTTTCCTAATCAGTGGTAACATCTGATGTTAGAACATGTCAAAACAGCATGGAAAGCAACTTCAAAAATCCACAGAGGAATGACACAGAGCATCCAAGTTCCCCCTGAATTCACTACATGTCAAAAGAAAACTGCTGTCACATCCGATGTGCAAATGGGTTAATTACTATGAAGATACCAAACAGGGTTTGAGAAAAAGCATTTGAAAAAATGTTCCCACCAGTGCCATCACTCATGCAGCTAAATAGATGTTAGTCCTAATGTTGACAAGGTCAGACTCCTTTTTACAGCCATCTCCATTAGATTTCCCAAAACAGGTTTAATTAAAAATAGGCCTGGATTCCAGAGGCTTGTCTACGGTTGTACTCCCACGGGTGCTAACACCTGTTGAGCTAAACCAGTGAGAACACCAAAGGAGGAGGAGGGGATGTTGTTGTTTTTCTTAAATTTGCCTGATGTTGATGGAACTGCAAAGTTTCCCACTGGCTTTTTTCTTTTTTCTTTCTTTTTTTTTTTTTAACATTAGTATAATTATAACTGTATTGGAGTAAGGAGAAAGGTTACTGTATTACATTAATTTTATCTACTCTGCAAAGATATATAGATTTTTTTTTTTAATAAAAAAAAACCCAACAGTGAAAACCGTGTAAAAATATAGTATTTGATACACAGGGCCATTAAGTCTCTAACTTAAACCTTTCTCACCACATTCCAAAAGGGGAAAAAAGGCAGGCAGGCTCTGGAATGGCAAGATATTGTTGATCCACAGCCTTCTATGATTTGAGGTATTTTTTTAGTGTGAAAATATTATGCTTGGACAGCTCATGTATTTGTCCAGTTACAGCCTGAGAATAAAGTAAACAGCTCTGAATCTCCAAGAAACAGTATTTGGAAAAGAAAGGACAACAATTCTTACACGTGGAACAGCTGGGGCACTAATCTGACACCTAAGGGTATGTTGACTATGACTTCATACACCTTCCACCTTTGAGTCACTTGCAGTAAGTTAATGAATTGTGTATGTTGCACTGGGACACATAAGGTGATGTTTGATGAAGCAGGGAAGCTTAACTGGTCACGAGGATATACTCGATTTCATTCAGGTAAACCACACGCCAGCGGCTACGAAGTCATGCTGAAAAGAGCAATACTTCCACCTAGTGGGCAATAGAGAGATCAACCCAAGACCTTCCAAAAACACATCCTTATTTTTCCAGTCATAAGTAGTTTCAACTTGAAACTGGATTAATGAGAGAAAACACAGCTGGTAAAACGGTGGGAAAGCCCAGCCACTCTGACTCACGGCAGATGCAAACTAATTCTCATGAAAATAAGGATTTTACAGTGGTTACCAAAGACTTTCCTAAATTAGGCAGATATTAACAATAGACTGCATGGGGCCTGTTACCGCCTGAATCACGCTATGAATGAGAATGAAGGCAAACCCTTCAATTTCAGAAATGACACCGCATTTCTGGCCTCACCCACTGTTTAAAGCTGGTGTGAACACAGAACTGGGAGCTCGTTGTCTGAGACACCAGAGCTAGTGATGAAAAGCAAAGGACAAAAGGAAAAAAAGAAAGAAAAAAAAGACAAACCCAAATGTTAAAGAAAGTAACAGATACCAACAATAGAAAATAAGGGACCAAAGAGACTAGGAACGAGGTGAGGGGAAAATGCACTGAAAAGATGGCATTCTTTAAGAATTTATGATGATACTATAGTATAGGGCAACACAGTTAGGGACACTTGCTGTTTCATGGACCAAGAGCAGTCCTCAGGCACAGTGCCACAGGGGTCTGCACAGGCTAATTCGCCCAGGAGACAAAACGAGAGGCTGGAGGAATGACCCCAGTTACTGCCGTCCAACTGCCTCCAGCACCAAGCTAGTTTGGGTAATTCTCCTCTCCACCACGCAGCTGCCCCTAAGGTAACAGCCACTATTCCAGGTTGAGAGGTTCGATGGCAATTTAATGCACAAAGGCACTGCCTTAAGTGAGTGGCTTGCTCCACAGAACAGCAGCGTCTCACACTCCTTCTCCCCGCGTATCTATGGGTTGACAACTACCACCTTCTCACTTCAAGAGATACAAGAAACAAGACTGTGTTAAATGCACTGAAATAAAATTTGAGAACTGACCACAGCTGGCTAAAGATCCATGTCTGCTTCCATCTTGGGAAACAATTTTCTAAGAAACAGTCACCAGCAAGAGGCCTTGACAAAGAGTGCTTGCAATTAATCTACTAAGGAACATCACTCAGAGAAAGCAACTTCTAAGATACAACATCACTCCTGGCACTCAATTCCTCAGCTGTGCTCTTAATGAATCGTTCAAAGCTGATCTCTCACGGACAAAAACCTAGCACAGGCGATCCAGGAGAGAGAATTTGCCCACCAAAGCAGAGACTCTTCCTTGAAAAATGAATGTGGTTTTTAGCCATCGCAATGCAAAATCCTCATGGACATGAGGTTGCCTTTAACTTCAACACAGTAAATCAAGGTTAGTCCTGATCCAAATACAACTCTGTTACTTTCTATTAACATTGTATTTTATACCATTCTTTTAAGAGGCAAGGGCTGTCTAGAAAAACACACTCTCCTAATTTTTCTTTCCACTCCAAGAGAAAAATGTCTAAGCACATTTAAACTTTGAAAAATTAAAACGCCATCAGATTTCCCACTGTCTGTGCCTCTGTAGTTTGATTCCAAGTCCATAGGAAGCCTTATGCAGTCTTTAAGATCAGTGTTCCCCTGACACTGAATCCTTGTCCCAGGATGGAGTAACACTGAGGTGGTGTTGCCAACAGCAATTTTGAGCTTATGGTTTTACAACCATAAATAGCATTCCTTTAATGTAATTTTAGTATGTGAAGGGGTTTTCTGTCACTGGCTGCATTTCTTTTTTGCATAGAGACAGGTAAGCCCTAGAGAAGTCTAAACTATAATATGCTCCTGTTATGAAAGAAACTCATAAGAACATGAAGCTCCTTTTCCACTGGGCAACCAACATACATTTCGGAACCCTGTTTAGCCACAAAGCATGCTTGGTAGACATGACGAAAAGCTCTCCAAGGAATATTCCTTAGCATCCTTTGAAATCCAAAGAGCTTTAATAAGAAGTTCCCTACCCTTACAATATATTCTTTCACTTACTGGACATTTCAGCAATCAACCACACAAGTCATGAACCTTCCAGCACACAGAGTACAGGGTCAGCATGAATCTCACTGGCAAAGTAGCACCATATGACATCAGACCATAACTTACATCAGACCTCAAATAAATACGGGACTTGAAAACTAATCATTTGTTTGAATTTGATTTTTAGACTAAGTAATTTAAATCTCTTTACACATTCTGGAATGTGTTAAAGAAAATGTCACTATTAAAGAATTGGCAGAACTGCTCAGCCAACCCGACAATTCACTGAACATCACTTCTAGCTTTAACCGTCCCATCCTCTTTCCCCACAAGCAGTTAACTCACCAGCTGTACATAGGCAACCTTGTAATCTGGCTTCTTCACCCTCCGATTCCTGTGATCCCTCTTGTTGTTTGCACCTGCAGAGATGAAGAGAGCCCCACCTTTTACAGCAAAGCCAAGCTGAAGGGGAAACTTCACTAGCTGCCATTTATTGTTAAGAGGAATACTCTTTCCTCAATACCAACAAATTAGGACAATTATTAAAACGTACTGAAGTTGGTAGACACTACTCTCCTTGTTTACAAGTAGGGAACGGAGGCATCACTACTCAGGCTGCCAACAGTCACTGTGCCTTCACATCACGTACAACGTTTGCATAGAAGCAACAGGTAAGTCTCCTGAGTAGGGGGGCAGGAGTGATAAACTGTCCTCCCAACAGCTTCAGGAAGACAAGGAGGAAACGATCACTTAACAGCTTCATACTTGTCAATTTTTAGTATCCAGCTAATGAGCTGGATCCACTGTTTATACAGCAGGAAATTACACTCCACATCCAAAAAAAACCAAAGCACCTCAACCTTCTGCAATATGCCAGTTACAACTGAGTGGGAAGTTCAATTTATTCCCTGCATGTAAGGCAGACATTAAAGCTTTCAATTATTAGACATTCTAACCCCCCTTCCTCTTTCATCCCTGAACACATACATTCTACCATCACTTCCATTAGCAGTGGGGGATGAAGTTATTCTAAGGACAAGCATGGATATTTTTCAGTGCTGTTTGCAACTGCATGTGTTTGGTATCAAAGACTATTCAATTTTATTTTTCAAATAAGCATACTACAAATGATCTTACTGTTTTCTTTTTCTTCTTTCATACGTTCTGAGTTTTACAACCTTATTTTTGAAGCTTTTTATTTTTTCCTATTACAGCTATTTTTTTTCCTATCCCTTTTTTAAAAACATCCCTACTCTTACCATTATAAACACATCAATCAATTCCTTTGCTACAGTCACTGCATGAAAGCATCAAAGATGCCCTAATCAACAAGTCACTCTATTTGATTAATGCACTGCCTGGTAATCAAAAAGGTAAATAACAAGAAAATTATATTCCTGACGTTGCACTGCATCCAAACTGCAGTCACAGCAGCTCCTGGGAAGGAAGCATTCAAACGTAAAAGTGACCTTATATAGATTATTTCAGCTGGAAATGTGTCTCTCATAACTTAAAAGAGGAACACTTTTTCTCTTGGGTTGGTTTTATGTTGGTTTTTTGGTTGGATTGTTTGGGTTTGGGTTTTTTTTCTATGGGTGGCACAAGGGAGAAAGACCATCAGTAGAACCATACAAGTCTGTAGCAGAAATGTGGAAACAACAGGTGATGGAAAATTGAAAGCTTGTCAAGATGCTTTTCTGGCATTATCTACTGGCCTAATAAAATTTTTTTTTTGCTCTACAAACTTTGCCTTTCGTTAGAATGTAAAACCATGCCAGGTAATCTCAACTCACTTTCTTTTTTTGTTTAAGCTACGGCTGGAATTAAGTTTCATTACTAATTTCATTATAACACATGAAGCAGTTCCTTCTGAAGCAAGACACCCACTGGTCTTCAAGGAGAAATGTTACAAACTACAAAAGCATGTAACATGAACTAGATACCTGTCAAGATGATAAGGCTCTTTAAATTCAGAATTTTCTTTTTAAAACTAGACCTGTGTCATAATCTAGTCAAAACATTCAAATATGAAGTGGTGCATATTTATTTGAAGGGACAAATAACTAAGAAGATAGAAGTCACCAGCTAAGCACCTGGAACCAATGTTTGTTGAAATCTAATGGACTTTTTGATAGGAAAAGTCTGTTCTGGCTGCACAGGGATGCTATATTTATCCCTCTCTATTACTCAACTGCGCTTACCGTATTGTATCCTGGTCCTCACAGCAGCTACCGGCACGTTGTATATTTTTTCAAGGTAATTCTTGACATCCACTTTTGTCATTCTAGGCAATGCAAAAACATTTTGGGGAAAGAAAAAAATATAAATATTCAAATAACATAAAACAGAGCCAGAGTATTTATAAACTAGTTGATAGTCTGGAATAAATATGTCTTCTCCTTTTAATCAAGGTAGCTTTACTGCAGAAAAGTATAAACTCAGCATAGATTGCACACTGCTACAGTAACTAGTTATCCATACACTGTAACAATGACAAATATTTTATCCTCTGTAGCCTCAACAGTCAAACCCCCAGATATATCCTGTACTCAGCAAGACCGAGTAGGCTTTCTCACTGCCTGAGAATCCTTTCTAATCTTCTGAACAGCATTTTCTAATCTTTTCAGGACCTGCCAGAGGCTTGTGGGCTTTAGTATGGGCAACGAGATCAGTCAGGATGAAGGAGTCCTGACAAATACCCGGACATCACCTTGTTTTCGCTAGATTTTCATAAACCCTTCTTCCTAAGCCTGTCCGTGGGAAGTCTGAGCCTCACCAACGCTCCGGAAGAGGAGTCAAGTTTGCTCGTATTTAAATTAGCGCCCTCGCGGCTCTGTAAAAGGTCTCCCTGATGCAGGAACCCCTTCCCCCAGCTCAAAGGGAGCTACCTGGCATTTAATCTTCCCACCCCTCAGCTAACCAGGCAAGCTGCAGCCCAGGAGGAGGCGACAAGAGGCAGCGTGCCGGGACATGTGGCACTGGGCGGGTAGAGGGGGAGCGGGGGGTGCGTGCTCTAGAAGCGGCTGTGGCCCCTCTGCACCCCCGGACGGCGCTGGGCCCTTTCCGCGGCAGGGCAGGCCC